AACAATTAATGGGGGAAATTATCGGGCGATTGGAGAACTTTGTGCACTACAAGATAAAGCAACTTAGTTTGATGAAGTTAAGTTCTATACTACACGTATTCCGATTAAAATGAACAACAGAAAAACATTTAAACAGATAAATTCAATAGCTTTTGAATTCCCACCAATATACGAGATGATTTTAACAATTATATTCATAGCTCATTGGTTTTGTGCAAAATGATTGAAATAACGAATGTTAAAAATATATGCAATAGTCTTCACCTTCTACGACAAAAATTATCAGCCTATATGCTATCATCTACACAAATAATGAAATTCGAGTGTCTGTTATATCAAAAGAAAAATTCCAGATTTCGGAAAGATGATATATTTGCGTTGTTGATAACGAAAATCGCATTTAAAAATTTTTTGTCTGTCTGTCCGCAAGCCGCGTTTGTTCCGGGCAATCTCTGAAACGGCTGGGCATATATTAGGTTACTTTTTTATCTCAATATTGCGTGGACGAAGTCGCGGGCAACAGCTAGTTGTCGAATAAAATTGAAATAAACCGTAGGATAATCGGTAAGTTAACTTTGTGCGAATCAAAGCAAGAAAAATAGGCTCAATTTCATAACTGATGAAAAGTTAGCGGTGTCGGGGCGCACGCGAATCGCCTCACTTTATTTACGACGCCGAAACGGGACATTTAAAACAAATCTAACTGCTCAGTTCCACTTTATCGAATCAGCATTCGGATCTATTTTACAGGTAACTGTGGGCACGCGATCACAGATAGTGTCATTGGAAATTTATTCCATATCAAAATTTATAACGACAACGGCAAACGTAAAATTTTATTAAATTTAAAGTTAGTGGCAGACAAAATTAAACATAGAATATAAAAGGCGTGTAAAGGCAGTTAGGTTCAGTTAAATAAGAGTATCTCAAGCGTTTTGAATGATGAATGTATGAATATGTAATGTGTAATTCGATTTCTATTCTTCCCCGGAAATAGTCGGAATTACCATGTCCTTTTACAAGTTTCCTACAGTCAACGCATCCATAACTGCTAAGCTTGTTTTACCAAATTTTTTGGCACGGTTATTGATAGTAATCGAATAGTTTTGTTTCCTTAAAATATACCATTTCTATATATCCACCGTTAATTTAAAGAATAGCATGTAAATAAATAATAACAATATTCCCATTATTCAATGCATAAAACATTAATGTTCATCCATGCCGTGACAATAAAGGGGTATCAAAATTTGGAATATTTAAACAGACATTGGTCCCGATCGTAGCGTAATAAAAACGAAGATTACGCGATCGTACCGTTATCGATATAGTCACTGACTTCCGGTATAAATTCTGTCTACTTACGCACTCACGTGTCATAGTAAATTACTATAAACAAATTTAAAAATTGCTCTTACTAACAACAAACATGAAAGGATGAAAAAAGTCCTTTTTACTTTAGTATTAAAGTTTAAACTTTCGTTTAGATACATGTTAAAAGTTTAGTTAAGGTTTAGCAATAATTATCCTGACATTATAATCAACAATTTTCATTTTTTTTAACATAAATAAACCAGCGCTTGACCACGACTCCATCTAACCTAAGTGAAGACGCGGCCGAAGGATAAAGCGCGCTAGCTCAATAAGTGCCGATTCACACAGATTTTAGTCATAACTTTTTATTCCTAAATCATATTTATTTTGGAATTCAGAATGTAGACCGAGATAAGAACGACTACTCTCGAATATCTACAGGCCAACAAGGAACAACTGGGGGATTTTACACTATTACAGGAGAGCAACGGTGCCGCGCTTTATATGTTAAAATACCGGTAATACCAGTCCTGTTCCGACCGCGGCCAATAATGAAAGATAGTAGCGTATTGCCTCGATACCGTCTTGTCTCGATACGCCCTCTATTTACATCTCGGCGAGATAATAAATTTGCATGTAGTAGCGCGGCCTTACCTGAGCTTTTATCACGGACATCGGTACCTCCCGCGTCGCGGGAAGGGTTGCCGATGTCGTCGACAATCGTAAACGTTATTTATAACCCGGCTCGATTGTAGCTGCGACTTCGCTCTTCGCCGCCTCATTTGCATAGAAATTTATAGGTGGCGGTAGCTATGATCATACCCTTGCCCGCTTCCGCGTCTGCCGCGGGGAGATTCGGGTGTCGGTGACGGAACCCAGACTAAATACTGTGGGGTGAATTAGATATTCAAATTGTAAGGGAAACTAATTTGTAGCTTTGTGTTTAGACGTAGTTTTTAATGTAAGCAGACAAATTAGAATAGCTAAAATACCCCTGTGGCTTTAATTAATTTTATGTTTCTTTCATTTTGTTTGAATAGCTGTAAGTTGCAAAGAAATTATGAAGCACGGATTCAAGTAAACAAAGCAAACTGTGCTGAACACATTTCGTCACACAACTAAAATCATTTAATTAAAACATTGAATACAATCTACGCAGTTCTTTCTGAGACGTGGAGCCGTCAGCGATGGCGCACAGATTCCGAAACCTAATTCAATTTAGCCAAAGGGTTGGCAGTTACGCGGAACGCGGAAAAAAGCGTGGTGAGGAAAGGGCGAGGGAAGTCAGCGACATCTGGGGGCGGCGGCTGTCAACTCGCGTGCGGAGAACCTTGGCCGCTGTAATTGATGCGTTGCGGGTCGCAACAGCTTTCTACATGCCGGAAGGGAATGAGCTTTTTTGTTTTCGATCAATATCCAGTGTCACCCCGTATTGATGTGTCACTGAATAATTTAGAGATTCGGTATTTTACCTCAATGGACTTGTATTACAGTAGGTGACATTTTTTTTATAGTTTTAAAGAGACTAACTAGGAGAATGCTCCCTAGAAATAGTATATAAATTCACATTTTAATTATTTACACTAATTACTAATGTTAAACATCCAAACGCAACAAACAAAACAAAAACAATACGTTCCGATTCACGAACGTTATTTAGCATTTTTATTTCGTACCATCTAAGCATTTCGTTTCTCACGATTGACTCGTCAAAATTGCAGACATAAAAGAAAATTAGGCGAGATATTACTTTAAAAAATGTCGTGCGAGGGTTGGCAGTTGCCACACGACAAACGCAAATGCATCGAGCCCGCCGTTTCTCACCAGACGTCAAAACTTTTAAAAAAGTCACCCGCGACTTATCCCTGACTATAATTAAGGTTTCTTCTTTGCCTTTTTGCATTTGAAAATAGATTAGGAATGAAATATTGTCTTTGTTTATTATTTATGCGGTGATTTAATATTTTCTATAATATAAAGATTTAAATATTTCCCTACATAATCTTTGCATGAACAAAAAATGCTCTTAATTTCATCACAAAATTAGTCATTACATAGATTACATATAAATAAGACCCTGGTTAAATAATTACCTACGTAAATTTGAAAAGTTTTCGATGCCATACAAACGTCGTTACGTATTTAAAGGCAAGTTTCAATTTCTTAGAAATTATTTCAGTGTTGATCGACGTAAGAAAATAGATGACGCAATTCCATCTAAGTTTATGAAACACTCTTCATAATTTTTTAAGTAGCTGTTTCATGGCTTCTTTCTTGACTTAGGAAGGTTTTACACTATACGAAATAGATTTTGAATGCGTCATAAGGTTTTTAGTTTCGTAGTCAAAGTACATTTTGTCGTTAACATATCTCATTGCGATAGATAAAATATAGTTTAATATTTACAGGTTATTATTTTCATTGTTTTGATATAATTTTATACGTTGTACAATTGAAAATACATACAAATTGTAATTTTATAAAACTATACAGTGTAAACGGGTCTTAATATCAATATTTCGATGTCACAAGTTGCGACTTTTCAACTTCTGAGGTCAAATGACGCAAAGTTACGACTTTGGCAAACTTTACTAACGCTGTGATTTCACTATGATGTGAGGAAAATTATATAAATTAAACGTAAGAATGTTACTACAGACATTTCACTGTTTGTTGATTAACGATAAAATAATAAGAGAAATACACAAAATACATTTCTTAAATATTCATGTCGCTTGGCATAATTATTCCTATCTAAACTTCTTCGCAAAAATCACGGACATAAAATGAATACGGTGACATTGAAAAAATTACGAGCATTTTAGGGACTGATATGAAATAATTTGCCATTCCTATTATTGTTTGTCCTACCTCCGTATTATTAAGGGGCCTTGAACAAAAAGATTAAAAGAATGTAAATTCAATTTCGGCGATTACAAAAATCGGTACCACTGTAATCGACATCGATAAGACAGATAATAAAAAACAAAATTAAAATATCAGCAACGTCCTTATAGTTTTCGAACGAGATTGCATGCGGCAAATGCATTCAGTATAGGCTGAGCGCAATTTTCGTGTTAGGCTGTTTGCCGATTGTCGTGCGACAGTTTTTGTATGATTTATAAGTAGCTTGTATTCTTAGTCCCGAGGGGACACGCGAACACTTGATCAATTGTCGCTCGTTGCGGAAGACCTACGTAGCTTTATCTTCTGTCAGGGTTAAACTTGTACTAGGGTAATCAACGACACTGAATACACGAATTATTTATGACACTCATCATAAACAGTGCGCAATTTTCAACTCTACACTCTAGAATATTAGAATTAATATCTATCTGGCGTTTATATTTAAAAAGTTACCATAGCATTTTGCTAATTATTACTTCAATAGTAAGATCTGTATCAAACAATAAATTTAATATGAATCAAACTATAATCGCACTTCAAAGTATGTCAAGTCTATTAGGCTACAGGTTAATAATATTATCTTCCTATTTATTGGGAAATAAAGGCAAAGCATATAAAGTAAGCAAACTGATGTTTAAATTATTTCTTCTAATACTAGAAGGTTAAAGCAGTGGTCTGAATACGGTGAAAGTCATTGGTGGAGACTTATCTCCAGCAGTTGGCTGGCACAAGCTAATCATGATAATCTTAATACAGCTGACACATTATAATGTACTCACTGTTTTCATGTCGCACCCAGGCCAGCGCACCGCAGAGCAGAGCTAATGTTTTTCCGGATCCCGTAGGACTTTCCAGCAAGCAGTTCTGGCTCTTATTAATTGCTGTTATTACCTTAAATGAATTATTAGTGTTTAGTATCATGTTTTAGAGATCAGGAACATCAAGTGAACTAAGCTAGTGTATATTACTTTTTATTAATACTATAATAAATAAGGCCACTGACAATGGTTTATACAATGTCAGTATTATTGATTACATTCAACATTCATGTATGTTTTATATCAGAACTCATTTTGTGTTTTTTTAATAGAGTAAAACTAATATTCACCTTAAACATTAAAGCAGTCTGACAACCGTAAGGTTTAACTGGTATATGAACCTTTATACCACCGATCATAAGTTCAAACCCTTTAGGTTTAGGTATTTGTGGAACTATTTGTGGAGCTTGTGTTTTTCTGTTGTTACTTATTTTGGTATTTGGGAATAGGTTCTTAATTAAAGCCTGTTTCTTTTTACGTAACTCGACTGCTTTAGCAGGTTCGTCTTCATCCGAAGTAAGTTCATACACAACAGCTGAGCCCTTCGTTTCATCGTCACTGCTTATACTGATTGAATTTAAAGGTAATGTCTTTTCTTCAAATTCAGCGTCAAGTACAAAACTATCATCATCTTCTGATAGTTCCGCGTACGACATTTTATTAGTTTTTTAAAAAACTTTTAAATAACAGTATGACGATTAAAAGTTTGTAACTCAATAATTCAACAAATAGTTCTCGTATACTAAAAACATTTAATATTTTACACTTATACTACACTTTTGTTGTGGCTATTTAATGATATTTCATAAGTTGACCTATGTTTAAAATATAACAAGTTATTAAATAAACATTTTCGGCAAAACGGTTTTTGAGATTTGTTTTGACGTTTCACATGACATTGACATTTTTCGTTCAAAAACGAGGTTACAACGTTTCGAAATGTCTCTTAAGGAAATATAAAGAAAAACTTAACGGGCCAATTAAGCAAGCCGAAAATGAAACTAAAGTTTCTTTTTAAACATGTTTTATTTACATGTGGCTAAATCGTAAAGCGTAGGCAATATTCTTATAACCTTGATGACAGCGCCCTCTCGTCAGGTCAGAAAAGTTTGTGAAAGTAAATGTTTTACATGGTATAAGGGAAACAGAGGTAATCCATTATTTTATTATGATTGTAGATTTAGTCAGAGGTTGAAGTCAATAATTCTAGTAAAAGAGCCATGGCTGAATTAAAAATCAAGATTAATATAAGGTGTTTATTTCAAACTAACATTCTATTTCTAAGATAAAGATATTCATCTAAAGGATGTGTTATTATTCTTTATCCCAATTCATTCATCTGAAAAAAAAAAAGATTTAAGTTGTGAAACTGTATATCTTTTCAATTCATGTAGTATAATAACAAATATCAGATAAAAAAAATAATGCAGAACAATTGTATAAATAAATAAACACGTAATATTAATTTACAATCATGATACGTGATAATAGTTCAAAATTTGCAACATTTTATTTTATTTCATTCTTTATATTTTATTCTTATGTGATGATAAAATGACTTACCCGTTTTGCAGTATGCGGTTGCTTGAGTTCATTTTATTTAGGGTTTTGCAAACATATAGGAAAACATTGTTAGAGCGACAGCCCACGCTAGCCAACACATTTTAAATTTGCTTGTTTATTTTAGTTGAACAATAAAGTTAAATACTACAATTTTGCTTCTAAATCACCAAACATCATGAAATAATTTTGACAATGAGGGATAGTTAAAAAAAACGAATAATTTACCAAATTTTGAGGCTGCCAGTGTTATAGAAAATAAATAATTTGAAAAACAGGGAACCTTCACGGATAACTCTAAAAAAAAAGTTAGGTACAACATTTCGTATTTTAGAAGATGAAGACGTATTCAAGCCACTCTTGAATAAAATAAAAAATGACCATTTTGTATATTACAGCAATTTATTACAAAGTAGATCATATATAAAAATATGACAAAATGTATAAATGTGTTTTATTGTTCACCCCCCATTAACGCTTTGGCGTTGCAACGCTCCCGCTTCCCGCCAAAATGCGGCGCCATTACGAACAACTTGTCTGCAAAAGTTATGGTGCGTTATAATTTGGTTTATAACTTGACACCACGCTGTTTAGTCAACGCAATTAGATCGTGTGCAGTGTAATAAAAATTCTTGTAAAATAACAATTGGAATATAGTAAACAATAACTGTTAAAATAATTAAAAAACTTTTTACCTTTTCCATTAACTTATTGACCGACTTCCCAAAAGAAGGAGGTACTCAATTCGTCTGTATGTTTTTTTTTTTTTTTTTTTTTTTTTTTTTTTTT